TAAATAAATAAACTTAAAAAAATTAATAAAAAAATAAATAAATAAACTTACCTATTAAATAAAACTCTAAGGTATATTTTATTCCATAAAATGAAACATCTTTATAAAAAACTTGTTCATTTTCTTTTATAAATGATTTATAATTACAATATTTTTGTAATAACTCTATAGATTCAATATTAAAATAACCAAACAAACCAATTTTTAATGTAAACATTTTATAATATATATATCTTTTTATATCTTTTTTATATCTTTTTTATATCTTTTTTTTTTTTTATTTGTAATTTGAAAAGTAAATTTTGAGATATATTAAAAAATATTTTTTGTGGTATTTATAATAAAAAAAAAAGAGTAAAAAAAAACACGTTAGTTTTAAAAAAAAAATAAAACACACCACATTACACCCACTTTTGTTTTTTTAAATACACCAATTATTTTAAAACTATAAATCTATTTTTTTCGATTAAAATAACCACTCTATCAATTGTTTTATTTGAATTTTAGATATAAATCTTGTTTTTTTTTTAAAAAAAAAAAACCCATTTAATTAGGAATGGTAATCGGATGGGTATTAAAAAAACCAACTAAACCTTTTTACTATTTCGAATTATATATCTCGATTTATAAAAAATACCACGAAACACATATATCTAAAAAATAGAGAAATTAAATTTAACAGCAGTTAAAAAAAGTTTGAGAAATTATTAATAAAAAAAAATTATATTTATTTATTTTTGTGGGTTAATTTTTTTTTTGGGGTGGTCTATTCAAAAAAACAATGTGTGTAAATTATTTTTAAAATATTATTGAAATTATTACAAGATAGATGATTCCTGAAATCAAAATTTTAGATGAAGAAGAATTTTCTTGATCATCATAATTGTTATTGTTATTGTTATTTTTATTATTACTATTATTGTTATTATTATTGTTATCACTATTATCTTTATGTTTATTTTTTCCTTTGTGTATCAAATCTGCGAGACCACCGGCAATTGTAGGAGTATTGGTTATTTTTAAATCACTGTGCTTGGCATCATTAATATTTGGTTTTAGCTCATGTCCTTGTATGATTTCATTTTGTTGATCCTTTAATTTAATATCAATTCCTGTTGTTGCCTTGTTTATTTCTGAAAAAGGTAATGTGTAACCATTTGAAGAAAGAGTAATATCTGAGGCTACATTTTTTGGTTTATCTGAAATAGTTTGAATATAAGGTCTATCATTTGTAGTTGTAGAAATTGATTCTTCATGGACTGGTATATATTCGATTGATGATGTTGGATTTGGAGAATTAGAATGAATGTTTGAACTTGTGGATGCTGCTGTTGTAGTGGATGTTGGTGAAGGTTTTGTTGAAGATACTGCAGTTGGAGATGAACCGCCAGTAGTAGAGGATGACTTTAATGAAGCGGTATTTGGTAAACCAGTAGTTGTAATGGATACTCCAGAATTTACACCAAAAGTTGAACCTGTTCCAAATGATGTTTGTGGTTTAATTTTATTTTTAGTCGTTGTATTTGATGTAGTGGTTGTTGTAATATTACTATTATCAATAATTATTGGTATACTACTATTAATATTATTAATATTATTATTATTTTCAACATCACTATTTTTATTTTTTATTGTAAAATTATTTAATGTATTATTATTAATATCATTTATTGAAACTGAAAAATTATAATTTGATGTTTGATTATTATTAAGATTACTTGTAATACTAGTGTTATTATTACTATCTCCTATTGCTCCATTTGAAAAATGGATAAAAAAAGTTAAAAATAATAAAGATTGAAAAAATCTCATCTTTTTAATTACAACATAAAAAAATTTTATCTTTTTTTTTTTAAATAATTATTTATATAATATCTTTTATAAACAAAATAATAAAAAAATAAAATTATAAAATTATAAAATTATAAAAAAAATTAATGTATAAAAAAAAATAAAAATAAAAAATAAGTAGTGGGGGAAATATATTTGAACTGTTATAGCATCCGAAAAATCCCCCCACAACCACTAAACTATAAAATAAATTTTCATTTTAAAGGGGGTTACCTGATATATTATTATAGAAAAAAAAACAAAACCATATTAAAATATTATAATAAATAAAAAAAATATGCAAAAAAAAAAATAAATAAAAAAAAAATGAAAAAAATAAATAAAAATTTTTAAATAATTTTTTTTTTTTATTAATTTAAATTAACAAATTGATTAATAAAACAGACAAAAGTAAAAATGAAAGTTTTGAAACTATTGTTGAAGCAGATGATCCAAGAGCTGCAGTTTCTGTTGGTGCTTCAGTTTGGGTTTGAGTTGGTGTTGGTGTTTGTGTTTGAGGTGGTGTTTGTGTTTGAGTTGGTGTTTGAGTTGGTCTTGATGTTGGAGTTGGAGTATTTGTAGAGTTGTTACTGGTTTCTTTTCTATATTCTTCGATAGTTTCATTTAACTTTTCTCTATAATCTAAACTTGTAAGTGAATTATGGTCTGGGTCTAAGCTATCGTATGAAACAGATGAGGCATATAATGAATCAGAGTGTTGAGTGTGAACATTTTCACTATTTATTTTATTTTGGTTATCATATTGTACACTATTATTATTTTTGTTATTGTTGTTGTTGTTATTATTGTTATTATTGTTATTATTAGATTGTTGATTTTCAATATTATTGATTTTAAAATTAGTATTATTTGATAATGGTGAGTCTGAAACAGAACTTGAATCTTCATCGTAATAGATTTCAGAGTAATCATCGCCAAAGTAGTAATAACTACTATCATATGAAAATGAGTCATCTTCTGGTTCTAACTCACTGTCATAACTATATTCATCTGAATAGCTTTCATCTGAATAGCTTTCATCTGAACTATAACCAATAGTGGAGTTACTTGAAGAGGAGGCACTACTACTACTTGAATAGGATGCGGATGTACCATTGCTATTTAAAAAAAATTGTTTTTTAATTGATTTTTGCTCTTGATACTTTGATTGTTTTTCTAAATCTTTATAACAAGTTACTCTGAAAAAGCCATTATCAATCTCTACACCGTGCTTTTCTGAACATTCAAATTTAATTTTATTTCCTACTTTTTGGCATTCGTTATCATTGAACTGAGTTGCAACAAATTGGTCACCGTGGGTATTTTGAATTATAAATGAACCCTCAATACAATTTTGTAAATTAATGTTTGAACATTTTGAGATTTTTGCATTATTTATTTGATTTGATTCTTTTGAACATCCATTGAATACAAAGTCAAACAATTCGAATTGACTAGCTGAATTACCAACACTTACTAAAAAAGAAAATAATAAAAGTGATCTTAATACTTTCATTTTATTATTTTATTATTATTTTATAAATTGTTTTACTATTATAATTTTTATTACTATTTTTTTATTATTATTATTTTATGTATTAAAATTTAAAAAAAAATAAAAAATAGAATATTTTTTTTTAATTTAATTTTTTAAAATAACAACAACCCTAACTTAACTTTTTAAAAAAAAAAAAAAAAAAAAAGTAAAGATTTAAAAAACTATGAAAAAAAAAAAAAAAAAATTTTACCCCCACCCACACTTTTTCTTGATTTATTTTTTATTTTTTAAAAACTAAAATACTAATTATTTGTATTTAAATTACTAAAAATAAAACCTATTAATATTAAAAATTATCCAAATAAAAAATTAATTAGGCCGAACTTGATTTGAAAAAAAAGAAAAAGAAAAAAAAAAAAAACTGTATTATTAAAAGTTTATTTTATTTATTTTATTTTATTTTATTTATTAATATTATTATTTTATAATATTATTTTTAATTATTAATTTAATAATCCTCTATATGATATAATAGCTAAAATGATTAATTGGTATTTGATTTTTTTTAAATGTGGGGTTCTGTAAATGTATAAAAAAAAAAAAAAAAGAAAAGTATTTTGAAGAGTATGATTTTTACTATTATCGATATATTATTGTTTTTTTTTTTGTTTTTGATTACTCTACTATGATAATAATATTAATTTCTTATTATTATTATTATTATTATTTATTATTATTATTATTATTATTATTTATTTATTATTATTTATTTATTATTATTTATTTATTATTTTTTATTATTTATTATTTTTTTAATTATTTGAAATTGAAGTATTAATTAATTGATTTTCAAGATTGGCTGTATCTGGGGAAGAATGTTTAGCTTCAGCCTCTAATCTGCTATATCTTAAAAGTGATAAGAAAAATACAACTGGTTCAGGGACCTCACCTTCGACGATCCATTCACCAACGCCTTGTTTAAGTGTTAAAAAGTGTCTTGTCCATTTCCAACATTGTTGAGAATCTTCACATAAATATTCTCTTTCTAATTCTTCCCAATAATACTCTTTTGATTTTGTAGCTTTATCTAAACAAACACTATCACCTGTTCTCCATTCGAAAATGAAACCATTATATCTACCCCACCCAAATGAATTTGACCCATTTTGTGGTAATAATTGTTGACCATCCCATAAATATGTCATATTATTTGCACCATTACTATTATTGCTATTGTTTTTCCATGCCGCTTCGGAACATTCTAAAATACCATCGCTACTATACATCCATTCTTCGTCAAATGAAGATTTAATAAATCCACCTTTATAATTTTCTTTATATACATTATGTAATAATACTTTCTATAGAATGATAAAAAAAATTAATATTAATTCAATACTATTATTATATTAATTAAATATATATTTAATTAAAATGTTTGTATAATCTATAAAATAAATTATTTTAAATTCTATAAATAATTTAAAAAACACTTATACAATAATTTAATCTAGGAGGTTCGTATCGGTTAAAATTATATATCTTGATAATTAAACCCTCTATACCTCCAAATCTTTTATAAAAAAAAATTCAAAACTACCAACCTTTAAAAATTGATTAATACAAGAATTAAAACATCTTAATTTCAAACCATCTATAGCTAAAATCCATTTTGCCATTGAGATTCTATCTTCTGCACTAAATGTTGTTTTCATGTTATCTTTTGATGAAATTATAAAAGCAAATGGGTTATTTGGTTGTTCTTCAACTGTAATTGTATCAATATCTTTTAATTGGATTTCGTATAAAACTGTTTCAATTTCCTGTATTGAAAAAAAAAAAAAAAAAAAAGGTTTATTAATATATTTAAATGTTGAAAAATGAATCTCGGTATTTTATGGAATATACTAACCAATTCAGAGGGATAAGCTTTAATACTTTGACCATTTAAAATTATCCAGCATTTCTTCCATCCCTTGAGTTTACCACTAAATTTATTTAAAGAACCTTTTCTGTATGGTTTTGATGTGTTGGATCTAATTTTTAAAGATTGTTGAGACTCTTCCCCCATATTTTGAATATCGTGCATACCCAATTCTGAAGATATTCTATGTGCAGCTTTATAGGACTCTTCATCTGAACCATGCTCTAATAATAATTTGATTACGCCTTTATAACCGGCACGGATTGCAAAAGAAAGGCATGTTTCACCATATTTTGATCGTTTATTAATATCTGCACCATGTGATAAAAGGAATGCAATACTTTCTTCGCAATTCTTTAAACATGCATGATGAAGTGGAGTCTCTGAATTATGTCCTAATGCGTTTATTAAATTTGGATGATCTTTAACAATTATTGGTAATATTTTTGGTGAAACTATTGGATCCCATCTTCTAACTAAATAATGGAATGGTGTTGTACCATCTGATCCCTCAATGGTTGCTAATGATACATCTTTCATAATTAATACTTCACAAATTTTCAAATGACCAGCACTATATAAACAAAAAAAAAAATTATTGTTAATATTGAATAACCATTGATTGAAAGTGATTGGTGTGATTGCCACTAATGATTGCTTACCTTGCTGAGCAATGTAATGGTGTCCAACCATTTTTATCTTTTGCATCTAATTTTGCCCCTTTTTTTATTAAAAGATTTACAATATCGAAAAAACCTTCAAAACATGCTACATGTAATGGTGTTTGCTCCATTGAATCTTTAATTAATAATATATCTTTATGATTATCCTTTAACAGTCTGCTAACTTCGTCTCTATTACCATCTTTAACAAATTGAAAAATTAATGCCATTTTTTTTTAAAAAAAAATCAAAAAAAAGTTTTCTAGATATGATTTTTATATGATTAACTATACAATTATTATTTTTACTACTATTATTATGATAATTAAATAAGAAATAAATAAATAAATAAAAAAAAAAAAACTAGGTTAATATTTTTAAAACTATCTATACAAATACATATATATTAAGCTATAATAACAATAACAATCCAAATACACAAACCAACACCCAATATTTATTTAAATAAATCTATTTTTAATTTATTTTTTGATAATTATAATAAACTATTTTTAAATTTATGTGGCGTTTCTTTGTTTTTTTTTTTTTAAAAAAAAAAAAAATTTAAAAAAATTTTAAAAAAATAAAAAAATATTTAATACGTACTATGTGTTTCTTTTTAGTGATTTGATGAGAGGTGTG